AAAAGGAATTGTGGATGAAAGGGATAGATGTCAGGAGACTAAGAAAACTGAATTTTGGAATAAGTTCAATGTAACATGCAAACCTGGGCTCAGACCATGAACAGTGTAGTTCTTAGATAGGGACTTAGGAGCTGTCAAATGAGGATTTTAGTGCTCTGTGAGTTTATACTGTTATTGTACAAGTGCTGTTCCTCAGTCCTAATAGTAAACTTCTGTGCCATCATATCATTAAGAACTCTTCTACTGGAGGAAGGTATTTCTTGACATAGGGATTTGAACTATAATTCTACTGTCTTGAGCTGATGAAAGATTTACAGCTACTTTAACCAACAGTAACAGTGTTACTGTGTGGTTTTTTGGAGGGGTTTCTTCCATTTAGGTAATATGTTCTGTTTGTCCACAGTTCTCAGTGTAATATCTGTTTGTTAAATTAATCTCCACTGTCTGTACCAAATTATTGACTAGTGTCGTTGATCTTGTTTAAATAGTTTTAATATCTGACACATAATTTAATTTTTGAAAATTATGGTGAATTCTTGCATAAAAATTTATGAAAAAGATGAGTATAAAAACACCAAGGTTAAGATTTGTAAATTTGCATTATCAAGCACTTAGTGTTCACTTAGTGGTTATCAAATTAAGGTACATTATGTTTGGTAGTAGCCTGTACAACTGTCTGCTACATGGTGGCAGATTACTGAGGATCACAGAATAATTTGCCTTGAAAAGGACCTCTGCAGGTCACCCAGTCAAATCTTCAACTTGTGTTGAAGTAATGGTAGCAGGTCCTTGTAGATGATCTAAGTGTTCAACCAAAGCAAGAAGAACTTATATATCAAGCAGCTTCTCTGTTTTTTTTCTCACTGTAGTTGTAAGTCAGAGGATATCCTCTCTCCCTACAGACCTTGACAATCTTCTCCTTTTCACTGTTAATATTTGCTCTACTTCTATTACTTATCCTGGTCATAAAAAGACATTAAAATATTTTCAGCAGGGCTAGAAGTGTCCTTCCAATTTCCTATCAAATCACTTCTGTTCCTTACCCTATTTCCAAATAAGTGCTTTATTATCTGTGGCCTGCAAAGTCAGATTCCCGTGGCTGTCCTTTCTTTCTCCTCCCAAGAATTTCTTTTTATTGCTGCACAGGCCAATAGCAACAGGAGAGAGATCTCATCCAGCCTGCAGTCTGGAGACTGTGGAAGCATTCTCCTGGGAATTAAGAAATATGGAACTAACTCTGTCAGACTGAGAATGTTATAGAATCTGATCTCCCTCTACCCAGAAAATAAGAGCATTGGCCACTCTATAAAAGAGGCTTTACCACTATTCTTCAGGTCATTTTTTGGTTTAAATGCTCATGTCTGTGTTACTTTGTGATGAACTCAGTGCTACTGGTGTTTGTCTCTGCATTGAATGTATCTGCATTTAGTATATCTGAGTAAGGGAACTTTGCTTTGGAGATTCCTGAGCCCCTAAAGACTGGTGGCTGCTCAATTTATGAGATCAGACAGGATCATGGTAGCATAAGGATGCACAGAAGTGTCGATATATAGACAATCTCAGGTGGCAGGAGTAATTTATTTTTGAAAATAAGGGAAAACAAAGACCCTCAAGTTCCTGATTTTGCATCTGTGCTGCTCTGGAGTGGCAGAAGTTTATTCATTACCATGTAGTGCTTTCCATGCACACAACAACCTCATTGACATCTTCTTCATTCAAGGCTAGGAAGAAAAAGTCATGCTTCACATTTTAGGCCATGCAGATTCCTAGAGGGCTTATTCCTGCTGTGCTTGAAGCTTCCTTGCAGGTTTATACTGTGGAATACAGGCAGGATTGACCTTCACTATAATTCTTCAGCCAGCCTTAAGGAGTACTGTGGATGTAACCTTAAAGGATGGGCAAAATTTTTCTTTATCACATTCTTTGGTTTAGGCAGCTGTAATCTTCCTAAATTTGCCTTTAGGCATCTACTTACTCTTATCAGTCAATGCCAAGCCATCTCTTTAGTTTCACCTTATGTCATCTCTCATTATAATCTAAATCAACTGCCACTTCTTTTCCAAGTGCTGCTCAAGAGGAAACCAAACTACACTTACTTACTGTGGCTTACCTGAACTGAGAACATCCTTTGCAGCTGTATGACAGACAACTTGTAATACCTGCTTATATGGGAAATAACACCATATAAATGAATATCCTACCAAACTAAATCGTTACCAAAAGGTACAGACTTAGACTAGATCTGTCAGTGCAAGTTAGAGCCCCTCCTTCCCAGGCTTACTCACCTTCTGCAACTTCTCTGAAAACACAATGTTTTCAAAAATTCCCAAATGGCAGTCAGTCCATCTTTGTACTCACTGGTGTTGTTTAGTTGAGATTTTAAGATCTGTTTTCCTGTGTTAGTAAATGTGGTTTTTAACACTTAGTTAAACTGGTCTTTCCACAACCTCTTTATTACATTTTCATATGATCAGAAGGGGAATTCATGGCTAAGTCACATGCAGGTGTGATTCAAGATGTGTTGCTCTTGTGAGTTCTGGGATATGTCTGAGTGGACAGAGTGTCTTATACAGTCAGTTAAATTAACCTTTTCACACAAATATGAGTAACTAACATAAAAAATAATGTCCATAAGAGAACTGTCTTCCAAAACTGCTGTTGTTCATGAAATAAAAAAGAACTTTTTGTCTGAATAAATGGTTGCTGTATGACCATGTCCTTGTAGAGAGGAGACTATTTCAAGCTCTTCTGTGAGATCCTGTACAGTTTTTCAGGAGTCCCATTTCTAAAATGGATTTAGGAAGCCTTGCTTGCTTTCTAAATGAGTAATGAATCAATAATAAAAAACTTTTCCCAATTGTTAATAGTAAGGACTGTGAAACACATGGAATTTTTAATGCCATTTCCTGCATTTCCCGTTCTAGCATTGTTACATTTACTTGTGGAAGTAACAACTAATGCTCATTGCCCATCTCTATCCTACTTGGCATTCCAGTTTTAAATGTACTATGTGAAAGGCTGTTTTGAGCCTAAGAGAATACTCTGGCATCAGCAAAGTTATTTGATGCTGGAACTTGATCAGTGGCAATGGGAAAGATTAGATTTTTAGCAGAAGATTTTAACAAGTTCATACTGTGTGCACAGGCCAATTGGCTTGTACAGCAACCAGAGAATGACTTCCTGACAATGCAAGTGCACATTTGTTCTGTTTCAAAAGCAAAGATAAGGCAAAATTCATAAATTCTACAATGAACAGGAAGGACTCTGGAGAAGGGAGCAGAAAAATGAAACTATGTCTGTGTTACCGAGTTGTAGAGGGCCAGAGAAACACACCTTTGAAGGAAGCTGTTGTTAGTATTAAGGAACTTCATGTCCACACTACACACATTTTAAAAGACATTACTCTGGGCGAGCTCTACTCTGTGCTTTGGACTTGTGGAAGGGCTTTAGGCACATCTCTGGAGCACATCCCTGCATTTAGTTTCATCCAAATGATATCTGTTTGCATGCTTTGAAACTGCCCTGTGATATAAACCAAAGTACATTAAGTGGAAACATTAGGTTCCTCACTTAAAAATTGCAGTCTGTCTTTGAACTAATGTAGATGCATCCCCATGGAAGAGAACAAACAGCAACTTTTCAAATGTAAATCTGAAATTTGCTTACCCGTTGAGAAGTAAATTTGGTTACAAAACCTTACTGGATTATTAATTTACAAATTTACATTCTCAGTCCTGGTAAGTTACTGTAGCTGTACTGAATTTGATAAAGTTATCTAATTTACATTCACTGAGGATCTAATCCATGGATTTGAGGATCCAGTGTGAAGTTCCATGGGTGGACAGCCACTGAAGCTGGGAAACTAACCCATGGTTTAATGACAGGGTTCGGGGTTTTTTTTCAAATTGATTGCCAATATCAATGCTGATGAGAGGATTAATTTTCTTTTGTCTTAGAATTTTAAATCACTATGAAAGGCTCAGCCATTTATACTTTAGTGGATTTAGAGACATTTATTAACATAATCAACACATCCTTTATATTTTAGAATAATGTAGCCTCATGATATAAAGACTTGTGAATTGAAACCAATTTTTCAAAAGAACTGTCATGCATCTAACATAATCCAACTGTAATAATAGCAGTATGAGGCTTACATTTTCAAAATTATGTGTATAGACACATTCCATTAACATTAATGACAGTTTCAAGGCTAAGGATCAAATTTTTCCTGAGTTAATCCTCTAACTCCCACTGATTTTAGTGATCTTAGATTACTAAATAATTTTTAAAGGCCTTCAGCCCCTAAGTTTTTAAATATATCCAGCTCAGAGTGAATTGTTACCAGTCCAATGATTGTGTTTATTGGCACAGTTTTGATCTGTGTCTGGATAGCTACTGATTATATTTCTGCATGCAATGAATGTGCAACAATCTCCTTTGAAGATTTAATTGTAAGTGCATTTTGTGCAGAGGCAGTACACCATTTAGAGGTCATTTTCTAGTGTTTGGGTAAAGAAGAAAGCTAACAGTTCAAATGAAATAAAAATGTCATTTATACGATGCAGTGTCAGATGTGGAACTCAAACAATGTCCAAAAGGTTCAGACTTAATTTTTCTGAAGCAGAAGAAACAAGAAGCATTTCATTTTTGTGGGTGAGAAGTGAAACGTTCCTCTCTGCTCACCGATAGAGGCATGCTAAGGTGAATTTTAATTATGACTAAATTGTGGTATTACTCTTTCATACCCTGAACATCTGTTCCCTTCAGGAACGATGATTTATGCAGGCTATCACTGCAGACAGCTTGCTACAGCTTATGTCACGGTTAGTAGGAAGCTGGTGGTACTATTTCAGAAAATACCAGCATCTAAGTGGAGACAGGCCAGTGTGTATTTTTAAGGTAGTAGAGAAAGGGCAGCATGATGTGTCTGTTTTCAATTTTGAAGCCAAATATTGACTTTACTTTTTTTTTCCCTTTTTTTTTCTTTTTCCTTTCAGACCATCTGTCATTAATGAAGAAAGTATCTCGGCCTGGTTCTTCCTAGTGGTGGCAAGCAAAAGAAAACCAAACCTGTCGTTGTTCACTGCATGTAGAAAACTATTGAGAACAGCTCTGGCAGAATTTTAGTGTTTAAGAACTGCAAAGGACAGGTTAACTATGAGATTATTGCACCACAAAATCCAATTGAAAAGGTAACCTTTTTTTATTAGCGTGTTTGCGTGAATGCATCTCTAAAGTACCTTCATTGTTACTGCAGTTGTACTGCTTTTGTATGATTACAGATTAAAAAAAAAGCAGGCAAAGAAATCTCTGAAATGGCAAAGCCTTGGAATTCAGCAAAACAGGGATTATATGTATGTTCAGGTTAGATAAGGGGAATTTTACATCTTTTCTCCCTCTTTCCTGAAATCCCCCTTACTCTTTAACCTGCTTGTCTTTGCCTAGTAGTCACCTTGCTTCTGATTATGCCTATTTCTTCCCCTACTTTTGTGTCTGCTAACTAATAGTACATGATCTGAGGATTTATTACCAAGGAAAATAATTTCTAAGATTACCTGAGGCATGAGTTACATATGTTATGTATGTTTGCACATATGGTCAATTCTGGTTCGGTTTGATATTATAAATATTCAGTAGTTAAAATGCTTGTCTTAAAAGAGAGAACACTGTAACCATATAACAACGTATTTTAAAGTTATGTTATCTACAAGAATCTTTTTTCTTCTATGAGGTATTTTAATACTTTCTTGGCAACTCAGTAGGATTTAGAAGAATTGATTTGCTGTCTTTATTTTCTAGAAGGGCATATGTATTTGTCCCAGAACAATTATGACACATATGCTTTATACCACATTTCCTTTATTAGCCTGTGATATATTTGAAAAAAGTTTTTAAAAATAAATTTTAAATACTTTTCAAACCTAGGGTTGATCAACAACATGGAATACTTTGTCAAGATTTCCACTGAGTGCAAGGAATTTTGAATGCCTGGACTATTAGCATCCAGTCCTCTCTGAATTATGTAATCCAGGTTTAGGGGTTTTTTTAAGTCTGTAGGACAATATGAACATTGTAGGACCCTTCCAACTGAGCTATCCTATTCACTAGAATTTTCATCCACTAAAATAATACCCAGGAGAGCTCTATAACCACATCTGGCACAGTTAATAAAAAGTCATGTGTCTGTCAGTTTTTGATAGGCATTGTTCCATATTTTGTAATATAAAATTAATTGTATTGCTGTCAACATTGGTGCTAATATATATCAAGATATTGCTTTCAAATGTGAATAATAACACTTCAGCAGTAAATGTTCCTAGAACCTCTTGTCTAACTAGAACATTCACAATACTTTCATCATGATGAGGAAAATCAAAACACACAGATCAAACTTGTCTGTGTAGAGGAGCAAAAAAGTTCAGTGATGATTTTTGACATATAATATTAATCAATCTTTGGGGTTTTTTTCAATGAGGATATCTTGACCTAGAACATAAATTGTTAAACTGATATCCATGATGCCTTATAGATGTCTGGACTGCTTTGAAAGGGTGACTGGCCAGGGAACTGCAGGAGTTCTGCAATAACAGGGCAAAAGTGACTGGGGCCATAGTTCTGAGCATATCTGAAGTCAGTGTGTTGCAGTGCTGTTGATAAAAGAAGCCTCCACCACTTGTGCCCTGTCGTTGTAGGACTTCTGCAGCTCCCTGGCCAGTGCAAGGGTTTTGCTCCCCCACTCAGTGAACCAAATAGAGAAGACATGTGCCAAAAACAAACCAGCTAAAATCACCAAGTTAAATCACAACAAAAGGCCAACACATTTGAAATAAATTGCAAATCGGTGTCTCAGGTATTAATGCAACAGTAAGTATAAAAAAAAATTAAAATTTTCAAATGATATTTCCTCCAGTCAAGTGATTTAAAAACAAAACTTATTCCTTGCTTGTAAATTTGCAAACAAATCCTAATTGCCATAAAAATTACAATACTGTATCAGGCTGAACTTTAGTAGTCCAATATCCTGTCTTTAGGCAGATGTCTAAAGAAAAGTGGAAGAATAAAGGCAACATATGATACATGTGCTGCATATGTTGATAATTTCCTAGGGTACTCCCCTCATCTGGGACAACCCCAGTTATGGTGCAGTCAAATCACCAATATATCAGAAGCAGAGCATTTTCTTTTTCCTTGAATACAAATATTATTTGTTCCCTGAATGAGACATTGTTCTTTCCCTTTGCTGTGTCATTCACTTAGTGTGATTTAAAAAAAAAAACAATTGAAATGTGGGGGGTTTCTATGTATAATAAGCAAAGTGCTCAGCAGATTGTTGCTACTGTCTGAAAAGTGTGTTCATTTCTCTGTAGTCAGTATTTCTTTTCAGACTTTTACCTGTTAAAGAAAGAGTGGGCCAGCTAGGCAGAGTTATGTGATTTCATCAAATCTGGTGGGAGCTTGGCAGGGAAGTCTGAAGCGTAGCCGAAGGATGTTTGATTCTCTCTGTTCTGAAACCCAGACAAAAGTGACACCTGTCTCACTTCACTTGTGCTAGATGTGTATCACTGAATGAAGGAGAAAAAAGACCCACTGAACAATTGCTGTCTCTGTTTCATTTCTCAAAAAAAATGCAGGTTTAGCAGACTGTACAACCTTCACAGTTTTCCTCCCATCCCCACTTAGTCACTGATAGAATAACTGCACACCTACTATACAGCAGTCAATATACAGATGTACAGAAAATAGGATTCATAATTCATGGAAGGAAAGGATATTTTCATGCTGAAAGTACCTGTCTTTATGCAGTTAAAACTGGCAAGAATGTTAAATATGTTTACAAAATTTGAAAGAAGACATGAGATATATGGTTATTATTTTCTTTTTTTTATACTTATTTTTATACTTATTTTGAACTAGTATGAAACAATTTTTCTGTCCCAAACCAAAGTTCAGAAAATGCCTGAAATACTGTTCTGTTTAGATTTGAACCTGGTTCTCCCAAATCTACTTTTACATAGTTGTTTTCAGTTAGGCAACTGCCTAGAAAGATAAGGAACCTTAAGTTATAAAGGATTAGAAGCTACAACTTGTGGAGGACCTTGGGGCCATTGTAAGAAATTGTGATATATTTGAATGTTTTCCCACCTTCTATTCTCTTTTGCAAGGAAAGTTAGAACTGGGTCAAAAACATGGCATTTGGGCCTAAATATGACAACTATGTAGAAAAAATGGGAAATGGAGGGGAATATGCTGAATTTTAGCAATCTTGGGTGGTTTGCAGCACCTTCCAAACAGTTCCATATTTGTGAGTGTTAGAACTGCATTGAAGGTACTGTAATTACAGTTAAAATTGAAAAAAAAAAAGAAAAAAAAAGAAAAGAACCCCACAAAACTTTAATGATGGTGTATTCTCTTTGTCTTATTTTAAATTGGATCTCTCTGGACAGGCAGCACCTCTCCTAAGTTTGGTGTGCAGTGTCAGTTGTGGAATGTGTGTTCTATTGAGGCAGAAGATGCATTTTCCACATTTGAACATGTCTTATCGCAGTTGAATGTGTGGGATTTTTAAAACAGGACACATTTTTCTTAAAATTTACAAGATCTGTAAAATTTTTGTTCACACTTTGTGTTCTCTATGAGCACCTTGAAAAAGGCAGCTTAGGATATTCCCTGACTGACCTGAAATAATAATGATGGTTGAATAATGTCATTAGTATTTTCCTCTTGCCTCTTCTTTTCAACACCTCCATGAACAATGAATTTCTCCTGGTCAAAGTATTGCCATTTCTGTCATCAAAAAAGTAACTTGTGTACTGTCTTTCTTAGACTTTCTTTCAGAGAATGACAGGTAATTTCACCAGCATCATTTCAGTGACAGTTTCTGCTTTAATCACACAACTCCTATAGTGATGATTCACCTCTTTCATAATTTTGCATTCCCTGAAATAGTGTTGCACAATATAAAACACCTATTGTATATGTTCTCAAGTGTTATGATTTCTGTACAAGCTGGAGGGAGGTAAGCTAAATATTCAATAATCAATTCTTTTGAAGTAAGTGTAGCAAGCAAATAGTATTTAAAAAAAGTGCTATCAAGAAATACGTTTTACATTGGCTGAGCTATGTGGCTTTAAGTTATTCAGTCTGAAAACCTGGTTCAGCATAAAATCACAGCAGTGGGAGGATTTTCTCTAAAACAATAGCTGTAATGCATGACTAGGAACGATCAGAACAATGTGGACATGGCCAATAAGCATAATTTAGAATTTGATGGTGGGCACAAGAAATGGTTTGTGGTATTCCTTGTTGTGATGGGATGAAACAGGCCAAAACATTAATATGTTTGGGGTGTGTTATTCTAATGTTATCTAAAGGCAAGTTTCTATCTTTGCTAGCAGAGTTAAACACTGAAGTTGAAAATAACTTTTTATTAAAAGTTATTTAGGTTTAAACATTGAAACTAATAAAAATCCATGTACTTGGATGCCAAATGGGAATCAGAAGTTGAATTTAGCAGTTGTGACATTCCTAGAGTTTAGCATATACTTTTATTCAAGGCATGCATGCTCTAGTCAAAATATACTGTTAACATAAACATGTAGTAGGGAAAATCAAACCCCTCTCTCTTCAGCACCCAACGAAATTCCAGCATAGACCACACACTTTCCACTGCCAAGGAGTCTTTTGCTGGAGTCACTAAGTTCTAAGACATTGCTACATTATCTTGTTTTACTGCCATGGTCATCTATGGTCAATGGATACACATAAAAAATTTTGAACAACATAGTTACCTTTTTGTGTGGCTAAACTAATTAGATTTTATAACAGTTTTGTCTCACTTTGTCTATAAAGTCTTTGAAGATCTTCCTGTTACATATCTGTGCACAGCATCTGAAGTGTAGATTCATCTTTCACAAGCATCTAAATTTTTCTTTTTTATTTCATACTTTTTCAGTTGGTAAGAAACACAAAACATTTTGTTAGACCCACAATTGCTTTTTTTCCCCTCAAAATATTTCTTGGAATATGTGATTTCTTGTGTTTCTAATGAATTTGCAGGTATAGAATGCTGTACTTGAAAATGTGTAGAGTCATTGCTGGAAATCAACTGATTGACAGCTGTTCATTCTGCATTTTATGTGGAGGATAGATTGCATTGCATTTGTTCTCTAATTGATACATGTTTTCTTTGTAGCTGTTTAGAGCATAATCATCCTATGGCTTTTTTGATTTTCTTAAGGTATTTGCTAAAGAAATAGGTTTTTATTATTTTCAGTAACACCTTTCCTTTTTTTAAGTTTTTCAGATGATTGCACACTGAGGATAACTTATTTCTCCAGTGAAATACTGATACAACGTATAAGGAATAAAAATGGGCAATAAATGGTAAGTAGCATTTGTTAGAACAGGCATTCTGTTTACTAAATTGAGGCATTGAGGACTTTGAACTGAAAATAAAATCTGGACTTCTTTTTTTAAATAATTTGTGTGGCTTAGTACCCTTAAATGGAACTAAAAATGGCAAATAGTCAATAAATAAGCTCATGAATAAAGCTATTGCTTTATGTAATTCTAGCATTGTAATATTTACATAGTTTTAATCCATTTTACAGTGATTGACTGGCCTTTTTCTATCAGTACTGCTTTAGTATGAGAACTTTTTCTTACAGTTTCAATGGGATACCACACACAGTTTATCTCTCCTGCCCTTGTATATGCTCTGTAAATAAGACATCATTCTAACTCTGTGTAAGAAGGCTGAGAATTATTTCTCTGAGCTTTCCTTCAGGGATATTTTTAGAAAATAGCCATATCTTTGTGTTATAAATTTAATTAGATATTTATATATATATCCCTAGGACTTTTGTTTCCTTATTCCTAAATATGTCTCTTTGTTATTCAGACCAAAGATTTTTAGTACAAGATTTTAAATAAATATGTTCAAAAGCTTCAGACTTTAGAAGTGCCTGTGCCTATTAATAATCCTCCTATCATGGGAGAACTATATGTGGAAGATGTAGTGTTTGGAAACCATTAAAAGAAGTCTTCAATTCTTTAGGTTTTGCACCTCCACAAATGTCTGTAAATGTCTGCTTATTTCTCTTCAAATCCTACCCACTTTCAGAGTAGCAAATCAGATTTCAGCCCAGCTAGGAGTAGAATTTTTCCAGGGTTTTTGACTCTCCTCACAAGCCAGATAGCATGCCCTGGCCATATTTAGGAAGAGAGAAGAAAATTATGAACATTTTCTTGTTATTTCAAAGTTTACAGATGCTTTCAGATCAAAGGTATTAAAAGAATTTATTCTTGATTATAAGAAGAAATATAGGGAATGCTCATGAAAATTGTTGTAACAAAAAGAGCACGAAAACCTCAGCTAAATGTTCTCCCACACTGTCCCAGAAGAGACTGGACTTATACCCTGTCAGTATTGCTGAAAAAGCAACCCAGTGATATATCCAGAGCCTTCCTATGTGATGAAAATATTTCTCTGTTCAGTGGCATTTTCAGTTTATGGTGCAAGTGATATCAATGGCACATTGGATAACAAGACATGGATTAAGCCAAATTTTCTTTAGTCACAGCCTATGTAACCACACCTGCAGCATTTGTTTATAAGCATAAGTTACTACTGAAGTACTTTCTTCAAAGCCAGTTTTTAAATATAACTCAGTCACGATGGAACCCTGAACCTTCATTGTGAAATCCTGTTCTGCAACAAAAGTATCTTTGATGCCAATTACATGACCTGTCTAAGAATCAACCCAGATATTTCTTTTCTGCACCTCATCCTAATGTTTCAGTTCAGATTCAGCCTAACATTTCTATCCTCAGGTGTGAAATATAGTGAGCAACAGCTTTTCTGACAGATCCAAGGCAAGTTAACTGGCATTGATCCCACAGCTAGAGAAGTGTTTTTATTCTTAGCATCAGAATTCTGAATGTAGAAGCTCATCTCTGTGGAGTGTTTATCATTACTTTTCCCATAGAGGTATAAAAATTTGCTCTATGCCTACTATCAGGTACTTTGTGCTCCATATTAGCTTTTATCATTTTATACCTCTACTGCCTAGTCTTAAGGGAGTATATTCATTGGTTTGTCAGACCTGTAAAAGTTGGCATCAGCAGATGCAGCTAATTATTTCACCTATTCAAACCAATTTATAGTGTACCTAATATAATATAACAGAATGTAGTATAATATAACACAATATGATATAACATCAACCGTATATTATAATATACAGAATAGTATCATTATATACTTATATAATATATATAAAATATATATAATAGATATATTATATATATTTATTATAATAAATTTCTACTGCTAAATTGTATGTATTATTATATATACCATATATAATAATAGAAAGATTATACATTTTACATAAAATCTGTTACTTAAATAAAACTAAGTGCTCCACCCGTGGTTCCACTCACCTGTGTGATATTCTCCACTGGAAAGCACAATGGAATCTGTTGAATTTCTTTGACATACAGAGTGTACATACCTTATTCTGATTAGTGTAGAAGGCATGGTATGAACAGGGGAAATATCAAAGATGTTTGAATTGATCTGGCAAATGTGTACCTGCTGACACCATGGATTGTAACCAACAGAGCACTAAAGCAGCATTAAGTTCTTTTATAATGCATCTTCTCTGGACTCAGTAAATTAGAATACAAAAAAATAACAAGAGATCAAACCTCTCTGGCAGTATGTGTATCTGGTTGAATGGAGAACACCATCTCTGGTTTTTCATAATTTTTTTAAAAATAATATCTGGAGTTTTTGTTTTAAAATCTGAATATATTTGTTCATATGTAGGGGTTTTTTTAACTGTACTTCATTAGGAGTTAATATTTTGCCTGAATGAAATTCATATATAGGAGGTCATAGTTATGAAGATTAACTCATTTTCTCCAGGACCTTTCTCTACCTTCTACTTAAGTTATATGCATATTGAATTAGGCAGTATGTCTTCTTGCTTCTTTAAGTCTTAAAGAGCTTTTGCACATTAGAAGAACTGCTGGAGGAAGAATGCATAAATAGGCAGACAGGAATCCCAGAAAGTTCAGCAAAGGGAAATGTGAAATCCTGCAGCTGGAGAGCTGTAATCCAATCCACAAGTACAAGTATATATACTTGGGGGAGTAAAGAACATCGATTCCCATTTTTCCCAGTAGTATTCAATGAATGGATAAGAAGCAGTGGACAAAAATTGAAGTGTGGGCAATTCCACTTCAGCATAAGACAAAGAAGTGGTCAAGAACTGAACAGTCTTCCCAGAGATGTTATGAAGTCTTATGCTCAGAGACATTCAGAATAGCACTGGAGAAAACCCTGACCAAGTTAGTCAGAATTTAAAAAAGAAATACTCATTAGTTTTTGTAAAAGACTTCTGTAGACTTGATAAACATCTTCCAAATGGTGGTACAGCTCCTTGCATAAGTATGGGAAAGCCTCCCAACTACAATTATGAGCCAACAAAGTCACCATGAGTCAAAATAATTAAAACTTAGCCTCATTTAATACTTAAATATAGAATCTTGACCTCAGCAAGGTTTCCCTAGCGCTAGCATAAAGATAGAAGGAGAAAAGAGGGAAAAAGATGGGGATTTTCAAAAATGAGTTTTGAAAAAGGCAACTGCTTCATTCATAATTGCTTCCTCTGCTTCCTTCTCCAGTGTTGCATGGAGTGAAGCCTCCCCAAAACTCTTAATGACAGAACTTGTGCATGGACTTGATTGCTGCAGGCTTGTGTTATGTTAACATTCATCAGGATAAATATTGACCAAAGAAGGGAGATTAAAAATCTAGTCTGGCACAGCTTGGATGAAATGGAACTAGGCTGCTGTACCTGTTTTAATATGGTTGTAATAATCACGAACATACACAGAGGTATACACGCAGTACACTCCTTTCCACTTCTCTTTTGTTTAATTCCCTTTCATTTCATTCTTTACTCCTAAATGAGGAGCAAAAGTAGTCACTTATTACTCTGTATTTCTCTTTTGGTCTTAAATTTATCCAGATTTTAGTTTTGTCTCTGAACTTTGGCACAGGAGCAGGTGGAAAACCTGGTTGTGAGTCTCACGTGACCAGAGTCGTTCATTCATTCCAAGCTGAACATTCCCTTGCAGTGAAATCACTCCTATAGATTGTTTTAAAACAGGGAAACAAGTTGGTGTGTTTTATTCTGAGTTGATGATTTGTACCTAGAGGAGCTGAGGTGGCACAGGAAGTCCAGGGAGGGTTCTGTTGCCCAGACAGAACGGTGTGAGCACCCCAGCCAGTCTGATGCTGACACGCATTACCTTTCTTGTTCTGTGGAGATGCTGTGTGTGATTCCTCTCCTGCAGGCCATCACAACTTGTCACTTCTGGTTGCTGTTGGCTTGTATTTGCTGTTGTCCCACACACTGCTGCTTGCAAAGTCACAAGCTGTGCTGTAATGTCTGGAAATATGTGTCATTCCTGTGCATGAATGGATTGAGGAGTAGAACTAAGGCTATTGTAACTCTTTCTTTCTGCCTGGAAAAACAATTTTCTGCAAAATATGAAATTATAATTCTGCATTGTGAGTAAAACTTTACTGAGCTTTTTATAGCCTGAGTCATGCCAACGACTTAATATTTAGGTAGTATTGTTAATTAGCAGGAGGACAGTCACTTCAGTCCAAGGCTATTTTAACTTTTACATAGCAAGATGCTTAAATCTATTAATTTTCTATGCTGACCTGTTATAAGCTATTCTAGTTAAAAAAAAAAAAAAAAAAGATGTGCAGGGTGGTAGAAGTGAAGAAAGAGGCATAAAGTGTATTGGAAAACTACCAAATGTCCCCTGCAAATGGACCCTATTCAGAATCAGTAAGCGTATGATGAGTGAAGTGGTTTTGAATATCGCCTTTAGATTCCATGCTGTTACAAGGCCAGCCCCGAACATGGCAACTCTTATTTCCACACACAGTACCTCTTCACTCTCAATTTAACCCAAAAATCTGATGAACCCATTACTCCATACTTGATTTCATGGAACAAGGAGTAGATATAGTTACAAATGATCAATCACAAGCCGTGAACCAAAGCAGCAAGGCATTAACAATTCACACCATTTCGGTCCACTTGCTCAAGCAGAAGATGTGCCAGCATATTTAATGCACAGCTACTTCGTGCAGTTCAGGAAAAGACATGACTCATGCTCATTTTAGGAACTGAGGACACTTCAGAGGTTTTCATGCCTACCAACCACCGAGGGTTAGAGTTTGCACTTCTAAACAATTAACATAACCAGGTGTCCAGTAAAGGTCAGGGAGACGGACGGGATTTTAAATCAACTTTTGCTCAGGTTGAAAATCAATGGAAGGAGGGCCCGGGAAA